CATGCCTCTGCCTGCATTTTCCTTTTTATAAAGGCACAAGTCATATTGGATTATGTCCCACCCTAATGACCTCATCTTAATTCGATGATCTCTGTAAATACCCTATTTCTACATTAAGTCGCATTCTGAGGTGCTGGAAGTTAGGGCTTCAGCATGAATTTTTGGGGGAAAACAATTCAGTCCATAACATTCATGGAACTAGGACACAGATCAAGACATAGAATAGTACCCGCTTTCTACAAGCCCACCTCACATGCCCTTCAGCTGTCCCCCCTTGCCAAGGTTACCCTCTCCTGATTTCTCATGCCACAGGTCCCCTTGTCCATTTACTTCCCATACAAGGAATCATATGTACATGTTCTCTTGCATCTGGCTTTTCTGCCTGAAATTTGTGTCTGTGAGATCCATTTCTGTTATTGCATTGTTGCGTGCAGCAACCGTTCGCTCTTTTTCATCTGTATGTAGTATTTAATAGAGGAAAATTAATGTAACGTGTTCACGTTATTGCTGATAGACATTCAGGTTATTTCCAGGTTTTGGCTAGCTTGAGTATGTTGCTATGAAAATCCTAGTGCATATCTTTTGATGAGGACATGCTCCCATCTCTATTGCTTGTGTATGGGGAGTAGAATTTCTGGATCAGAGAATATATATGTTTAGTGCTAGTAGAGGATACCTAATGGTTTTCCAACGTGGTTTCCAGCAATTATATGAGAGTTCCACAACCCCAGTGGTACTTTGTGTTATTTACACAGATACATTTTTGTAAGAAGAAGGTGGTGGTGATGATGACGGTGATGAAGATCGCTTCTCATTGCTATGTTTATCATGAAATCTACACATGGGGCTGTTATTATCTCTATTAACTCATTTAATCTTTCAAACTATGCTTTAATGAAACTAATAGCTTTGTTTTACAGATAACAAAACTAAGCGTAAATGAGGTTGAGTAACTTGCCCAAAATAACAGTAACTAACAACGCAGGGTTTGAATCTAGATTTGCCTGATTGTTAATCCCAGACACTTCCTCGTACAGATGAAATGTAAATTTGGTTGCCATCAAAGAGGAGATGTTCTGGGCCTCATGGGTAGCGTGAGGGGATAGGTGTGTCTCTTGCAAAAGAGCCAACTCGGTGGTAAAAGTGGGCAGAGCTCCAGATCTCCACCTCAAGTCTTGTTTGTGCCACCCTATTTTGGGACATTAATCATAAACAGTTATTATTAGGGTAAGTTCCAAACATTGCCCATTAATTGATTATTTTCAAGACTGTCTCTAGGAACAGATTGATGTATTTCCTATTTTAAAATAGAGTGACAAAGCCAGTTTTGGGGTATAGAGTTAAAGCTATGACTTAAGTCTAAAGCCAGGCAGAGTCTGTAGCAGCAGGTGCATGCTGCTCGTCTCATGGCTGATACGGATCAGCACTGTGTCGCCCTTCCGGCTTCACCTTCTCAGTCCTGGTCCTTGGGCAATATGAGGGACATTTACCCTTCTAAGTATATAGCCAGGGGCCAGCTCTACTTTTGTCATGCCCTCTACTTGTTTGACCCTGGGTGGTAGGGAGGATTTCAGTGGGGAAAAATATTTCAGGGCACAGGAAAAAAAAACATATTACCTGCTGGGCGCGGAGGCTCAAGCCTGTAATCCCAGCACTGTGGGAGGCCGAGGCGGGTGGATCACGAGGTCAAGAGACCGAGACCATCCTGGTCAACATGGTGAAACCCCGTCTCTACTAAAAATACAAAAATTAACTGGGCATGGTGGCACGTGCCTGTAATCCCAGCTACTCAAGAGGCTGAGGCAGGAGAACTGCCTGAACCCAGGAGGTGGAGGTTGCGGTGAGCCGAGATCGTGCCATTGCACTCCAGCCTGGGTCACAAGAGCGAAACTCCGTCTCAAAAAAAAAAAAAAAAAAAAACATATTACCAAATAATCACCCTTCTGCCAAAGATGCTCAGTAGAAGCAAGTGTTGGGAAGCGACTTCAAATCAGGCAGTATGCTGGTGTCTTCAAATATCTCAGCTTAGTCTTCACAATGTCCACGAAAAAGAAATAAATGTCTATTATTCCCATGTTACAGTTGTGGGAATTGAGCCTTGGTGAGGTTAAGAAAACTGGCTGAGGTTATAATAAGGGAAAAAAACAATATAATAATGGGTTTGCTCTAGGCATACAAGGCGAGTTCAACCTTGAAAAGTCAATTAATGTGGCCAGATGCAGTGGCTCACACCTGTAATCCCAGAACTTTGGGAGGCCAAGGCGGGTGGATTGCGAGGTCAGGAGTTTGAGACCAGCCTGACCAATATGGTGAAACCTCGTCTCTAATAAAAATACAAAAATTAGCTGGGCATGGTGGCAGGCACCTGTAATCCCAGCCACTCTGGAGACTGTGGCAGGAGAATTGCTTCAACCCAGGGGGTGGACGTTGTAGTGAGCAGAGATCGTGCCACTGCACTCCAGCCTGGGTGACAGAGCAAGATTCCATTTCAAAAAAAAAAAAAAAAAAAGTCAATTAATGTAATTAATTGCATCAACAGACTAAAGGAATAAAATCACATGATCATTAATAGATGAAGGAAAAGCATCTGACAAAATCCCACATCCATTCATAGTAAAAATTCTCAGTACACTAGGAGTAGAAGGAAACTTCTTTACTTGATAAATAATAACTACAATAAACCTATAGCCAACATCATACTTAATGGTGAGAAAATAGAATCTTTCCCACTAAGGTCAGGAAAAAGACAAGGACGTCTTCTCTTATCATTTCTTTTCAACATTGTACTGGAAGTTCTAGCTCATGCAATAAGACAAGGAAAGGAAGTAAAAGGTACACAGATTGAGAAAAAAGAAATAAAACTACCTTTGTTTACAGATGGCATGGTTGTTTCTATAGAAAATTCAAGAGTCAACAAAAAACTTCTTCAAACTAATAAATGATCATAGCAAAGGTGTAGAATACAAGGTTAATACATAAAAGTCCATTGATTTCCTATATGTAAACAATGACGAGTAGACTTTGAAGTTAAAAACACAATACTGTTTACATTAGCACCCAAGAAGAAATGCTTAGTTGTAAATCTAACAATTTTTCAACAAATGGTACAGAAACTGAGCATCTGTATGCAGATTAAAAAAAAAGAATCTGGACACAGATCTTGCACACTTCACAAAAATTAACTTAAAACTTGAAAGTAACCAAGATGGCCTTCAGAAGATGAACAGATAAATAAACTGTGGTCACCCAATGGGATATTATTCAGTGTTAAAAACGTGAGCTATCGCATCCTGGATATGGATATTCAATGCATGTTATAAAGTAAAAGAAGCCAGTTCAAAAAGACTACACACTATATGGCTCTAATTACATGACATTTAGAAAAAGGCAAAACAATGTCACAGACAGCGTAAAGATTAGTGATTGCTAAGAGCTGGGGGAGGTTGGTGGGAAGGGGTGAATAAGCAGAACACGGAGGATCTTTTAGAGCAGTGAAAATTCTTTGATACTCATAATGGATTTGGGTCATTACACATTTGTTCAAACCCATTGAATGTACAACACCAAGAGTGAGCCTTAGTATAAACTATGGACTCTGGATGATGGTGATGTGTCAATGTGGGTTCATTAATTGTAACAAATGCACCCCTGTGGTGGGGGGTGTTAATAACAGGGGAGGCTGTGCAGGTGTGGGGGCAGGGGGAAAATGGGATATCTCTGTGCTTTTCTCTTAATTTTGCTGTGAGCTTAAGACTACTCTAGAAACATTAGGTCTTTAATTTATTAAAAGGGAAGATAAAATTAAAGGAGCGTTGATTTTTATATCTTAAGCACAAACATGAGATTATCAACACAAAGTTATAGATCTTTGACCAATCTGATGGAATCCTCATCTTGTGTACAATCATTTTATTTTAAAAATACTTTTTCAAAAAAAAATGCAGAAATCCCCACTCTCATGGAACTTACCTCTAGCAGGGTGACAGAAACAATAAATTTTTAAAAAGTAAAGAAAAACCAAACCAAACAAAAAATCAACACAATTGTTCCACTAGAGCCAAAAATGTAAAAATCATTTGAACCGGCGGGCGCGGTGGCTCAAGCCTGGAATCCCAGCACTTTGGGAGGCCGAGGCGGGTGGATCACTAGGTCAAGAGATCCAGACCAACCTGGTCAACATGGTGAAACCCCGTCTCTACTAAAAATACAAAAAAATGTAGCTGGGCATGCATGGTGGCACATGCCTGTAGTCCCAGCTACTCAGGAGGCTGAGGCAGGAGAATTGCCTGAACCCAGGAGGCGGAGGTTGCGGTGAGCCGAGATCGCGCCATTGCACTCCAGCCTGGGTAACGAGAGCGAAACTCCGTCTCAAAAAAAAAAAAAAGAAAAATCATTTGAACCTTTCTGAATTGTTAATATCTTTAAGGAATCTATAAGAGTATATGCACACTTTTATTTTTTAAAAGAAATAAGGACATTGAATGTTTTCCCAATGAACTGCTGAAAACTTATTTTCTGGACAATGCAAACCTTCCAAAGCGGATTCCGGTTTTGTGGGCCAGCAACCCTTATTATGTGCCATGTAACAAGTGGGTCCAGGGACTCATGTCCTATAAAAATATCACACGGATGAGGTTCTAATCAGTTCAAATGTTGGCATCTTTTAGTTTGGTGACAGTGTAGTAATTTTAGAAAGCGCAAAGTTTCCTTTTTAGTTGGTGGTCAGCTTGTCCCTTAAAACACTGATTTGGTTTTAAATTCAAGCTAAAATGAACAACCTGGGCTCTGTCCTGGCATCAATAAACTTGTGCATTATTATTCTCCTGCATGTTATTTTGTTGTTAGTTTAATGGCCTGATCAGGTCACAGACTTAGGTGTCCCACGTGGCCGTGTGCTTTGCATACATTACAATCCAAGCATTGTAGTTAGAACAAGAGCCACGTGGGAGGGGGCAATGGGCTCACACTCACAGAGTACAATTCACAGTGGGGGCTGATCCAGCACCGGGTCTGGGCTGACTTTGAAGAGGAAAAACACGATACACTCAACTCCCCTGCTTTAGCTGCAAAGAGGAAAACATCAGAGCTAGTCCCAAAAAACCCAAAGCCCTTCAAGTACCGCTTGGGAATCTTTTCCTCAAGAACCAGCGGCCTCCCGCTCCCCGCTCCTCACCAGCCCTGTTGTGGGGAGCAAGGACGGGTTTGCAGTCTGGGGACTAGAATGCCCTCTGCCTGTGCCAGCACAGAAGGGTGCTGCTAGCATTTGCGGAAACAGGTAAATGATGCGGCACGTGCATCCTTCATCTCTATTTTAACGTCTCCAACAATCTAGTGGTTAATTAGCAATTTGCTGCCCACCGATATGCAAATGAGTGACAAACAAAGGTTCTCTGCATCTGTAATTATTTTGCTGATTTACAAGCCTCTTTCCTCTCAGTGTAGGTTTCTCTCTGTGTGTGTGCATTCACGCATCAGGGATTTCATTATTTTTTGAAGCATACTCTGCATTTTTATACTTTAATACTTTCAGACTTCAGTAATCACAGTAATTTGGGTAAAAAGAAAAAAAATACATATAGTAATATATGCTTCCCTCCACCCCTCAACTCCAAATGGATTTGTCAGGGGTTCTTTTCTCCGATGAAGAGTGGAGAGTAAGATTTATCAAGGGGCTGTAATCCAAATTGCAGAAAGTCAGACGCAAGATTGAAAGATACACATTGTGGCTGCTGCCAAGTCCTTATCTGGATTCAGAGTCTTGTAATATTTTATTTTCTCCCAAGCAGCTCTGGCGAGTCGAGCCACGATCTGCGTTATCCATCTGCCTACTTTGGAGCGGGGTGTTGTACTATTTGGCGGCTTAAACGCTCTACGCTCTTGCCAGGGCATTAAGAAAGGCTCTCATGTTAAATTAAGTCAATTAATAAACGGAGACACATTAAGCAATCAATTTTGTCAGCCCCTCTCGCCGCCGTGATGGACGGTTGGCTGTAATCAGAAGATAAATGCAATGCGCTGATCTATGGTGATGTTCAATAATTCGTTCTCCGCCAGGCTCGATTCATCAGGGAGTTCGGCGGGGAAGGCGCTTGTCATTGGCTGTGTCTGCACCTCAAGGATAACGTTTCTGTCCCTTCGATTGGCCGCGTCACGCTGCAGATTCTAAGCGTCTGGTTTGATGATGAATATGAGAGCGCGCTGAGCCGGCTGGAGCGGGGTCCCAGGCTGCGCTCAGTCCCGGCCCGAGGACTCGCCGCTTCCTCCGCCCCTGCCCGGGCGACAGCCCCCAAAAGTTGTGATGCTTTTCCTCGCCCAGTGCTTCGGGGCTGTGTTCGATCTCATCCACCTCCGCTTCCAGCACTACAAGGCGAGGCGGGTCTTCTCCGCGGCCGGGCAGCTCGTCTGTGTCGTCAGCCCCACGCACAACCTCAAGGTGAGTCTCCGTGTCGTTTTCTCTCCCCCGGCTCGGGTTCAAGTCTTCTCTCGGCGGCGGCGCGGGCAGCCCTTTGCTTCGCGGCGGCGGGGGCTGTGCCTGGACCCGGCGTTCGCCCGGCTCGCTGTCCAGGTGCCCGGGTGCTGGCAGGGACCCGGTGGGGTTTCCCGACGGCAGGAAAAGCTGGACTGATGCTCTGGTGTCTCCGTCAGCCTGAGAGTGGCGTGGGGGGCAGCGGCGAGGCTGCTGGAGGGGACGGGGGGCGTCCCGATCACTTCCCCAGTATTTGTGGGCGAGCGTTCAGGAGACAGGATGTGAACTTAGCCAAATTGCGCTCTTCTGTCCCATGTTGGGAGAGGTGGTCAAACACGAGGGTTTTGGAGGCTACTGGGGGGTGAGGAATCCTGGAACAGGGAGCTGGGAGTTTTGGGCGGGCGGCGGGGAGGTGGGGGGGTGTCTTTCTGCAAAGTGTTTGTCCTTGTCCTCAGACTCGTGTGTCTGTGTGTGTGTGTGTGTGTGTGTCGGGAGGATTTTGGCTTTTTTTCCTTCCTGCTGGTTAGATGCGCTCTTTGCGCTGAAGACAGGAGGAGCAGGATTTGCCTGGATTGTGTAATAATGAAACCAGCTCCGAGCTGCTGCAGCCACTGCCTGGAGCTCCCTAGGCGGCTGGGTGCTGGGTTGCTGGCGGCTGCCTTGCTGCCCTGCGGCCTCTGCGTTTGTATCCTCAGGTTAGTGTCCTTTTAGGGATCAGACCGGCACAGCCGCTACACATCACAGTCAAAACCGACTGGGAGAGGAGGGATGGGCCACTGGGTAGGCGTGAGGGGGAGACGGGAAGAGAGGAAGTCAGGGAGATCGGGGCTGGGGGCTGGGGAGAGGCCATAACTGAACTCCCCAGATGGGAAACTCAGCACCTTGCCTCTGTCCTAACCGAAGAGGTGGACTCACTGAAAGTTCCTTTCCTGTCCTCCTCTGTAAGGCAGGACTGCGTGCAGGGGGGAGGGGCCATGTCGGCAGCGCCAGTGCCAGACAGTCTGTGAGGATAGATCTGTCACTCTGACCACTGCTGTTGGGCAGGAAGAGCATCGCCTGTTGTCCATCACTTTATAAACTCCCACAGCCAGACCGTCCTCAGCTGGAGACCCAGGTCAGCACTGATGGGTACTCTCACTCCCAATTCCTGGAAGTCCCTAGGAAAGACAGCTGCTTGGAGCTGCTGGGGCTTCCTGCCAAGGCCAGTCCTGGAGGAGGGGCGATGGGCCGTCCTGGGACCCCGATGGTGCACCTGACCTAGGATCTGACTCTGTCTGTCACCCCAGCTCTGACGAATGCCACCGCAGCAGCTGTTCACACCTGCTCTTGCTTGTGCACTCTTTCCTCTCATTTCACTATTTTTTTTCTTTAATGGCTTAGTTTTATAAATGAGAATTCACTACCAGTCATCCTTGGCAAAGCAAGTATACAGTATACACATTAAAATATAATTCTGAATTCCATTTTACGGCCACTTTTGAGACACATTCAAACTCCCATTATTTTGTCACTTTGCATTAGTTAGTTCCCTGGGGCAAGAAATTTTGTTTACTTCTGTTTTGTATTTTAATACCTTTAAAAATTGCTTATGAGACTTTAGCGTTTCCGAAGTTTGAATTTTTTTTTTTTTTTTTTTTGAGACGGAGTTTCGCTCTTGTTACCCAGGCTGGAGTGCAATGGCGCGATCTCGGCTCACCGCAACCTCTGCCTCCTGGGTTCAGGCAATTCTCCTGCCTCAGCCTCCTGAGTAGCTGGGATTACAAGCACGCACCACCATGCCCAGCTAAGTTTTTGTATTTTTAGTAGAGACGGGGTTTCACCATGTTGACCAGGATGGTCTCGATCTCTTGACCTCGTGATCCACCCACCTCGGCCTCCCAAAGTGCTGGGATTACAGGCTTGAGCCACCGCACCCGGACGGAAGTTTGAATTTATATGGTTTCATTGACTGCAGATGATGATGGAGAATAGCAGGGTGTTAAGGTCTCCGAGAGGACTGAGGGGAAACTGTTTGTGTACATTTCTCAATGATGTCTGCCTGGGTATTAACGAGTCGTCTTGCTGCCCTAACTGGGGATCCAGAGCCAGGGTCGGAGGCCTTGAGTCAGCTGTGGCCTGCTGTGTGAACTTGAATCCCTCCTCGGCCTGTTTGAGCCTTCCCTTCCTCACCTTTTAAGTGGGCTTCTGATCTGCCCTTTCTCCGCCTCAGCTTTTGAGGTTGAAGAGAGGTGTTAGAGGTGCTTTACAACTCTCCTCTAAAACTAATGTATGTTATTGTATATGTAATTTGTAGAGTTCCAAAAGCAAATTCAAAAGTTGTCACATAACACCTTCAGGCACTTTAGAAATCATCTAAGCAGCAACCTAGAAGTGGGTGACATATGCTTTGAGAGGCCATGGCTCACTTCTTCACTTACTCTCATTTGGCTTTTCATTTCCCATAAAAAAAAAGACTTAGGGATTTTGCTCAGAGAAACATCACCACACCTAAGCAAAGCAAGTTGAGTGCTGCTGCCGTCCCCAGGATGCGGGGTGGGGCGCACAGGATCTGGAGAGGGTGCCAGGTAGGGAGAGACCCTAAGGGTCCAGTGGCCCATCAGAGAAGTTTTACCCCCTTCTCAGACCTAAGGGCTAATAGCCATTTGGATAGCTTGAAAAGGACTAACTGTATAGGAACATCACTGCCCCACTGCTTGTGTTAAAAAGCACATGTAACCTCAAAAAAATTCTCCTTTGAAACACTGATTTCTATAAACAGACCATGGAAATATCCCTTGGAAATAATAAGCTGTGATCTATGTAGTGGGGAGGAAAGTCCTTTTTTTTTAAGGAAAAAAAAAAACCGTGGCGATATTAACCCAGAATAGCTATTGATCAGCTGTGTGTCCCCACACTTTGTATGACAGGCCAGTGCATGAGATGGTGACCAAGGGCAGACAGGCTGCAACGTTGCTTCCAACTGTCTGGGTTGCATGTAGCCACATAGAGGGCTGGGTTTTTCTTTGTGGAAGCATTTATGTGTTTTATCCTTTCTTGGGCTTTCCTGAGAATTTGAACCAACCGCATTTTAGAACCTGAGGCAAGTGCTGAGTTATAATCAAAATTCACTTACAAAGCAAAGAAAATGGTGTATTTATCATGCCTGTATAGATGACCTTCCTTCTCAGTCTTCTTATGGTGATCATTCAGTAACCTGGGATTCCTTCAAGCAAGCTGATGCTTTTCCTTCTAAATGGAAGGCAGAACCTTCCCGGGAACAGCAGATCCTCTGGCTAAAGCCATTAGACCCCTGAAGCTCACCCTAATTAAGGGACATTTAGAGTAGCCAGCCTTGAGCATGAGAGACCTCAGCTTTCAGTGGGTGCCAGGCAGTGGAGGGCAAACAAGAGCGTTTCCCTCTGTCTCTCTGTCTCTGTCTGAGGACTCTTTGCACAGATCAGGGTTCCAAATGGTGCCCCCACTTCTTTCCACCCCATAAAAAGTGACCGTCAAGGAGCCAGCTTTCTTGGCTGCCTGCCCTCTGCTTCCTCATTCACAGAGGTTATTGAAATGTGGTGAGCAGACTTCAGGCTGGCGCTCATGAGGGCGCCTGCTCCTGCTCCTGATTCAGCATCCTCTCCCTCTGTCCTCTGCTTGTTTCTAAACCAAGAAAGCCTTTCTCTCCTGGCTGCACTCCCATTGGCGCTGGTAGCTTCTAGAGTGCCCTGCCCTGGGCAGCCCTGCCTTCTTTTGCCCAATCTGCAGAGGTATCCTTTGAGGGGAGGAGCACTCAATTCCCATGCCCAGGTTCTTCCAGAGAGGGCTCTGTAGTGCTAGCCCTTCCCAAGCAGGCACTAAGTAGCTAGGCTGAGACTGGCTGAGTGACTTCCTCTTCTTAACCACAGCTTTTGATGAGCAAGTTTCTGAAAGAAGAATAGCAAAATGCTTTCTGGCAAACTTCCACGAGGCCCGCTCTGATACCTGCACCCTGTGTCTGCACCACCCAGACAACCAGTTAACCTTTTCGTAAACACGGAATGGGAGGGGCATACGGGCCAGTCGTGGCGTTAAGTGCCTGACAGATACGAAATCTAAAACTGGGGCGTTTCAGTCCCATTTGTTGATGCATTCATGTGTCTTTCATTCTCAGACCAACCTGTGTGGATGAATGTGTGCTGAGCGGCAGTGGGGAGGGTGGGAGCTGTAAGGAAGAGGAGGAGGCAGCCGGGACCAGGAAAGGACCGAGGTGAGATGTGTGGCCACCTTTGCCATTTATGGGGTAATCTTTGGAAACCCCGTGCTGCCCCGGGGTTTGCTAACTCTGTTTCACACAGCACAGCAGGCTGCTGAATGAGAGGTAGAGACCTGAGCCTTGTCTTTAAAGATTTAGAGGTGGCCTTTGGAGTGTTCTGCGTGAATACCTAGTTTAAAGCAGTTAAAGCCTTCCAGCGAGATTTTTCTATTATTATTATTAAGAAAAAATGTCTATTATTTATTATACTGAACAACTCTGACCACCAGAGACGAATGGGGGGGGGCAGGAGAGAAGATGAATAGCTGGTGTGTGGGTCACTCAGTTCCTCTCCACACAGCCACCTCCGATGGTTCCACTCCCAGTCCTCTGGGTATTTCACTGTCTTCTTTCTCTGTCCAGGCTGTAGCCACTTTGCCAGAGGGGCTGGCGGAAGGGTAAGGAAGGCGACCTCAAGCTAGTGGTGGTCACTGCGCGAGCATTACTCTAAAGGTTTTGCGGCCTCTTCCGGCCCATGGGTTTCTGTGAATATTGTATGGCAGTCCACTGTGTGGCTCAGAGCAGTCGTGCGGCTTTTCTGGTTAATGGTGATTGCAAATGACGCTCCTGAGTCACGTAACCGGGAGGCCCAGAGCCCCAAGCTGTCATTTGGTTAGCTGTGTGCCAGTGATTGAGTTGCTGGGGAGGCTGACGCTGGCGGCTGCGATGAGGTGAGCCGATTACCTCTGTACTGCAT